AAAAAACATTTGTCCCCTAAAAAGTTTTATTCATAATTATGAGTGAAAACTAATTGCTTTATTTGTAAATAAGTTGAGCCATTCTTTATTTATTACATAGTAAATGTGCGTTTTATGTGTGTATTCGTTCATAATTTCATTTAAAATTAAACTTTGCAAATATTTTATCAATTAAATTTATTATACATTTTTAAGTAAGCAAATTTCACATACTGCAAGACAAGTAAAATGTATCTTTTCTTGCTGTGATATGTAATAATAAACAGTACAAATATTTTTACTTAAATCAATACTAGTAAGAACTGTATGTGATTACAAGGACTATTACACCATTTCAGTTTGGTTAGACAACGGTAATTCATTTTAGCGTTTGAAGAAATGGTAAATTATGAGCAACTAAAGATTCTAATGGAGGATGAATTATAAATGACATTGTATTGACATGGATAAAATATTATACTTCTATTAGTGACTTTCAGTAAGATGAAAAAAAATTGATCTTCGATTAAAGTATTTAAAATAATAATAATAATAATAATAATAATACAATAATAATAATAATAATAAATAATCATAGAATGAGTAGAAATAAATTATTATAACTTATGTGAAAGAGTATTTGAACGAGAAATTGTTAATTTAAACTATAATACAGATAAATTTTGCAAGATTACAGAATTTGAATATTTGTAAAGTAATAAACTGAAAAAAGCTTGATTAGAATTCAAGAATATAGGATATTACTTAATAAATAAAAGGATGAAACTTGCAATAGAACATATTCATATGTTTAGTATTTACTTATAGACTTCAAAAATAAGACTAAATTTAATGTAATAAAATTAATTTGCTAAAGCTACTCGTCTGCAAAAAGTAATTAATTATGATGTATGCTTATGAAATTTATCCATAACTATGATTAATTATTACTACTTATAAGTTTGCTCTTTTCAATTTTTTAATTAATAAATAAATATAAAATATATTTTTATTAGAGAAAAATTATTTGCATAAAATATATTTTTATTAGAGAAAAATTATTTGCGCAAAAATAAATGAATACAAAAAGTTGAAAGAGTTGGAAAGTTTGGGAAACAAATGAATGTAATCGTTATAAAAGTGATTGATGGCAAAATTTCTGCTCAAATATCAAATAGAAAAATTAATATTTTTTCTCGAACGATGAGAATAGAGAATAAGAATAAATCAAATCACAAAGAACAAGCATATTCAATTGCTAAAATAGCAAAAAAATAAATAAATCAAATAACAAAAAGCATAAACAATTGTTAAAGTAGTATAGATTATTGAATGAGGAATAGGTTATGACTTGTAAGATTGAAAAAAGTAAATTACTCGTGTACTGAGAATGAAAATATAGAGCTAGGCTTAAGATCAGATGATAGAACAACTTGATAAAGAGCTAAAGTGATAATAATAGATTAAGCTAAAATGCAATAAATGGGCCATCAAAAAAATATTGGAGGATAAAAATAGATATGCTTTTTACTTTCAATTGCTTACAAATGCAGTAGATATTATGCTTTATCCTAATCTCTCTTGATTAATGCTAAAGACGTTAACTTTCGAGTTTATTAATAAAAAATTATATTAAAAACTCTACTGCTAGTTTAAGCTATATCATTTGATAAGTAATTTCTATGCAAGAGAAAAAATGAAGTATACACTATACGATTGCTAAAAATGCATCAAAATGTAATTTTAGTAAATTAATGAGCATAGAGATGTTTTTTCAAGAAATTTTGATTAAAAATTAATAATAATAATAATAATAATAATAATAGCTAGAAATTGGATAAAATAAGAATGACCTGACGAATTACTACAGAATTTGTGAAAAATTGATGCAGAATAATATTGTATTACTAAAAAGGCCTTCAAATTGTTGCTTGGCAAGAAATGAAAAAATAATTGAAAAAGTATGCATCAAATATATAAAATATTATTTATCAAATTCAGCGCGAAGAGTTTCTGATAAATTCACATATTTATCACAATTACAAATTCTTTCGATCACGCAATTAGATAACGTTTGTTTGATTTTGTATACTATCAAATTAGGTTTACTTTTTTTTTGTAACAAAAAGGTACTCACTAATTCTGCCTGTTCGCAGTATAATAGCTAAAAGATTAGATTCTGGCAACAAGCTTCACCATATTAATATGCTTGAAACTGCGCAAAAAAATGAAGGTAATATTTTTTAAACAAAATGATTAATTTTTTATAGGATTAATGAACTTCCAAGTTTAGTAATGCAGTAAAAGATTTAAGTAAAGGTATCAAAAATGATGCTGATTACTCTTAAATTTTTATTAATAACGGTAATAATTAAAATGATTATTTTTTGTACTTCCCATTTACTTGATAAGCTGATAAAATCTTTTATTTATAACTTTGTGCTCTTAATGCAAGATAGCTATCAACCATATTTATTAAAAGATATAATTTATTAATTACTTAAGTGGAAATCCCTCGAAATTTTACACTTGCATTAAGTTGAGTAACATTTGTGATTTTTGCAAGACTTGCATTATTATTGTAATAAAACTAAGAGATAATTTTGTATTAAAAATCTGTTTGTTTGCTTTTTATGAATAATAATAATTTTTTAAATCGTTAGCAATTAGTGTTACAATTCTGACTGCAATAATTATACTTTTGCAGTAATCAAAAATAATTCTTAAGAACAACACTAATCGTTACTTTCATTTTAAAATGATAAAAGTAATACTTTTGCAGTGCAGTTCAGATAATACTAAAATAATAATAATTACTTCTCTAAGCGCTCCATTTCACACTAAAAAACAATTTCCAATCACGAAAATGAAATATTTTATTAAATTTAATGTTCAACAGTGATTGTTACTTTGTAACGCTAAGACTCACGCAATTCTTTGCGGTTTTTTACGCTGAAAATTGTTGAAAAATTGGAAGTAAAATATGAATAATTAATCATTTACGAATTGATGAAGAACTGAACTTCGATCGTTGCAAGGTCAACTTGAGAATGATCTAATTTAGTTTTAGTTGTAACAAGAAGAAGTAAGTCTGAAAGTAGGAATACGAGAAAATACTGGATAGAAAGGAGATAACTTATATTTGATTAATTTAGTTCAAGAATGTATACACGTTCACAATTTAAAGAATATATGCTAGAAAAAGTCAACACATGAATCCATTAATTAAAATCTATTCTTTGTTTTTCGATATCAAATTATCAATCACACATCTTTTGCAGAGCAATATATTTGATATATTCAAATAGTAAAAAATCAAAAATAAACTTAATCAAAAAATATTCTTTGTAAAATTTTGCATAAATAATTTACATCGAAAATTAACTGCAATACTTATAATTTGCATTCAAAAGTTAAAAGAATAAAAAGTAGTTTCAGATGCAGAAATTGTTTCTGTGATTTTTTTGTGGAAGATCAAAGAGTTAAGAGGTTTCAACTGCTCAACATTGGAAATTAATAAATTCGAAAACTGTATAAACTCTACTATCATATCGAAACTGATTATCATATTTTCCACCATACAAAAAAAATATAAAGATAATATTTTTTTTTGAAGAGAAAATTTTTAAACAAGAGGCGAAACATACTGTTATTTAAGCATGTTGTAGCAATAGTAGATTTTTGTGCTATATGAATTTAAAAAATTTTAAATCGCAAGTAAAGTAGAAAATAATTTTACTTGAAACTTTAGCAATTTGAGCCCATTTTTGAAAAATATTATTATTTTTGATACTTTGATCAAAGTTTTTTCACTAGAACAGAATAAATGATAGTCATACACGCTAAATGTATTCAGTTCAATCTAAGCAATTTCAAATAAATTGGCTTTTGTAAAATTTTGACAAAATATTCTATTCTCAAATGTAAAAAAAACAGCTTTAGTTATTCAAAAAATACATTGTAGTTGAATACTACCAAAAGTTTTTTAATTTTTTTCCCCAATTTTTTGTTGTTTTAGCAAATTTTAAAAGAATCTCTTAGTATATGCTAATTCATATTTATAACTATACGATCTAACAATTTTTGAATATGCGAAATAAATTAATTATCTCGTCAATTTTTTAAAAGTTTTAGTTTATGCAAATTTTCATGAATTACAAAATTTCTGATTAAAAAATAGTATCTCGCATACTAGCAAACGAGTTATTTTTTATTATGGAAATTTATGATATATAAAACAAGAAAATAATATTTTTGCGGTGACGATGATACACTCAAATATGAATTTTTAGAAGTTAAAAAAAGGACCTCATAGAAGCGATTTAGTTATTAATTTATTGGAAAAAATCAGGTCAATCTGGATTAACCTAAAATAAAGTACAATATTCAATTAATATCTCTTATTATTCAAAATATTTGAGTACCATGTCATGATTATTATTGATACCAATATTTTTGCTAGTTCTATATACTAGTATGTATGTGAAAATCATCTTACTACTCGCTTGGACCGTTTTACAAAGTTTAGCTGGTATGAACATTTTTGAGTTGGTACCATTCAATTACAACCTACAACCTGTATTTTCTTGATTAATTTTAAAGCTAAGATAGATTTGTTTTTATTTCTTGCGCTTTTTGCATTATGTTAATTCTGAAAGTTGCAATAACACTGAATATTTGAAACAAAATTAGCCTTCAAAAGTAATTTTGTTTGCAAAAACACTTTAGCTAAAATTAAATATCATTCAATTTTTTCAATGGAAAATTTTATAGTATTGCTATTAAAAATTGATATTACTGTTATAACATTAATGTTCTGTGGAAATTATTTCCAAAAAAATTACAAAATTTTGAAATTTATTTGTGGTACTTCAAATTTGCTGTGCTTGTGCAGCATTAATAATGATTTCCAAAATAAAATGACTAGATTTAATTTACTTAAATTGTAATTTCATAGTTCACAATATTTTGCCCCTGAATTATTACGAACATTTTTTTCAGATTCTCAAGTTGCTTTGTGCATGCTGACGTATCCTAATTTACAGCTCACGTGTGCTACAGCATATGAAAAGCATACTTCACTTAGTGAACAACAATGTCGTAACCTTTGTTTGCAAAAGTCAATCCAAACGTGCCAGTACCAACGAATTAAGTCAGCAGAGAAGTTTTTTTAATCAGCTTAACTGCAAAAAAACTGAAAAGTTCATCTGCAATTATAAATTTATAAAAAAATTATTTAACGTCTACTTCACTTATTTCAGTTTACTTACAACCAAATCTAAAAACTAAAAGTATCATTTCTAAATAGATTTGGCATCCGTTCAAAATTTTTAATTCATTATTTCATGCCAAAAATATTTCTTTGTGTCAGTGATTAGAAATTTATCTTCTACGAAAAGTTCAAAAAAAATAGAAGTAGACTATTATTTGCAAGTACATCACATTAGAATACTACCAAAAATTTACTACCAAACCTGTAAAGCTTATTTTTGTATAAAGTTCAACGAAACCAACCAGTGAAATAATTAGAGGATTAACCTCGAAAGAAATAATATTCTAGGATGGAATGTGAATTTCATGACGTTGTGGTTGCTTTGAACAATAATTATTCAGAATATCGAGGTTTTTATTTTTTTCGAAACTTGGCTAAATAAATTGACTACCATTAAAATATTTTTATTTTTATCGAACATTTTTTGTCATAAAAAGTTTTTTCTGCGTTTTCAAATATAAAATAATTAGTATGTATGAAGTTTGAAACATTTATGAAAATTATTTTCTCGCATTTAAATATGACCTCTTTATTGGTGACCTCTTTATTATAACCTTTTTTTTTCATATTGTATGTCTGATAATTTGATAAGTAATACATTTTGCAGGAAGAAAGCATTGGAAAAGAAACTCAAATAAAATGTCAATTTTGAGAAACGATAATATTTTCGTGTCAGTTCATTACTACTGTCAATACTATTACAATTATTGCAATAAAAGCAATTATTTTGTAATTGTAATTTTAAATTTTTGAATATTTATTAAATTGAAATAACAATTAATAGTGACAGTTAGGGTGAATAATTGTGGAGATAAATAATTACTACAAATTACTGCAATTTTTTATTTTCATTTTTATCGAAATACAAAATGCAATTATCAAAGTTTAGCAATGATTTAGAACGAGACCGTGTGTGACATCTGTAGCTCCAGCTATTGGTTTTTCACTTTTTATTAATAATGACTGTGATTCGAAAAGAACAAATGGAATATCAAGCTTAAGTGAGCATATTAAACCCGAAATCAACAATGAAAATCACATGAACTCTGACCCAGTGATTACAATCTCGAGTAAAAAAGTAATGACTCCAATTGAGAAGATACCATTGGAAAAAATCTATGGAAATGGGACGTTTATTGGTGAGGAATCTATATGGCAAAAAGCAAAGTTGCTAGTCAAAAATGACTTAGAAGGTAATATTGACTTTTCCAACATCGCAAAAAGTATATTTCAACTGCATAATCTATGACCTCATAATAGAATCAATTTAAATAGAATTTTTTGCGCTTCTATCATTCAAAATTATTTTTGTAACTTTTTTGATGCAAAATAATTGTCAAAGGTAATGATGATTTATTTTTTGCAGACTGTGTGTCAGGATTTTCACCTCATATTGAAATAATTGAAGGTATTCAAGTGATCGCTCAAAGCCTTGCTACCTTTCACGCAAACACGCTTGAAACGTGTTTTGATGCATGCATAAAAAATACGGTAAAATTATAATAAGAAATCAATAAAGTATACAACTTTGAAATCAAAAATAATTTAATTTAAGTATAATATTAATTACAATTACAACTTTTTTACATACTACTTGTCAGATTATATCCCATTATAATATAAATAAAGGAGTTTTAACAAATAGTTGTTTTAAATTCACAAAAATTAGAAATTTTATGATTTGAATTCGTGATTTTCTTACTCAAATATATAGAAAGATTATGCAAGTCTTTTACTTCTCTTAAGGATATCATATATTTTGACAAAATTAAATATTTACAATGAAGCATCTTTCAATTAAATTTATTATGAAAAAAACATTTGAAATATCAAAAAAAACGAAAAAATTTGAAAAATTTTAAATTAAAATATATCAAATAATAACAGAATGTGATTTTGTATGTCCAATGTAATTTGGCAAAGTCTAAAGTATAAAATTTATATTTCAGTTAGTTAATGATAACGTTTTACCCGTTGTTTGTCGAAGTGCTCACTACGATAGTATCAGTAAATTTTGCCTTCTATTCAGTACTTCAATTGCACCTGTAGGAAATGCTCATTACATTTCCAATAATAATGTAATTTATATGGAAAAAATTTGCATATCAGGTGAAAAATTAATCAATATGAAATGAAATTTTTAGTTAAACAAAGATTAATGCAATGATAAAGATGCAAAAATTCATTCCACTTCTCTTTCTAAACTTTACAAGAAATTTTATGCAAATTATTTAGAGATCTCAATTTTAAAAGAAACTTAAAATGTAATTTTGTATGCCAAAAATTTGCAAAATTTTTGAAGTTAGTTAACAATTTTTTTCATGGATTAGTTGTTTCATATAATTAGTGATAAAAATAATCTTTAAACACTTCATGATGTTTCGTTAGTTAAATAAATAAGCAGTTAATTATTTGAAATTATCATTCATTAAATTCGTGTAATGATCCAGCAACATATTTAGCGTGAAATGTTTATTGCATGATATTTTTTGTTCTGGTAATTAAAATAATAATTTATTTCGATATGTACAGATAGGGCTAATTCCTACTGTACCAAAGCATTACGTCGGATTCCGCAATATATCTTAGTAGGACACGCAACTGCCGTAATTGACGTAAAGTCGCAAAGTCAATGCATTGAAATATGTTTGCTATCAATGGTGCGTCTTAGCAAATACAAAAAAATTAAAAATTTTTCCAATTCATCATTACTAATTTCAATACTATTTGAGTACACAGTTTTGTATCAAAATTTAATAGAAAATAGAGTAAATTAAGTTTTTTTAAAAAAATTTATGACATAAAAATGTGACACCAACTGTTAGATTAGTATAATTTAAAAGCAAAATTTAATTTTAAAATTTATCCAAGTTTTCAATGCATATTTTTTCATGCCTTTGACAAATAATATCTATTTTTTAATATATTTATTGAATTCACGCAAATTATAATTAATTATTTGTAGAAATTAGCTTTTCTATGAAGTAATTAAATGTTAAATAGATATTAAAAAATAGATATTATTATTTGTCATGTTAAATAACAATTTTAGCTAGTGATATTAGTTATAATAATCATAATGCAAGCAGCAGGTAAGACTAATAAGGGTAAAACTTTAAGGAGTTATATTAAATCTTCAGATCCCTTCACGATTTTCAGGAAACAGTAGGTTTCACATGTCGATCAGTGATGCATTTTTATGAGTTCCGGAAAGCAAATTGCATTTTGAATCAAGATTCTGCTAGAACAGATCCGGAATATTTTACCAGTGAACAGGAATTGAGAGTAGATTACATTGAGTTAGAGGAATGCTTTATATCCGGTATTTTATAAAATTTAATTATTATTATTGGGACACAATAATATTCAAATGAATGATAGCAATAAAAGTTAAATTCTAATTTTCAGTAACGAAAATTTGATGCCAATCTTGTTAACATGTGCAGGCATATCAATTAAAAGCTCTGTTTATAAAAATTATTCTAATCACTAATGAGATTTACTAAAAATTATTGATCATAATTATCTTGTCTTTTTACCATTTTCATTATCAAGAATTAGAATTGATTGGCATAAAAAGTATCATTTTAACTTGATTTTATAAGCAATGATTAATTTGAAGAGAAAAAAATGATTCCAACAAGAAAATCAAATTGTATTCGATTTTTTTTGTTAAGTTTTTAGTTTTGATTTTGCTTTTTTTGCAGATTGATATCCCTGATTTGATAAAGTGACGCAATGATTACAGTTGCAACCAGTTTCTTTCTTCATCTGCACACTGTTTCAGTATTCACTTCGAATCAGAAGCACTATATATTTTCAGCATATTATCTTGTGTGATATATTTAGTACATTTTGTTATTAAATAAAAGCTCGATAACTTTGAGATACATAAATTAGATGAAATATTTCTATGAATAAATATCTCAATCTCATCTAAACAAGTATTTTGATGTGATAAGGTGGATATTAAAATTACTGATTCTATTGACCGGTTGATCAATTTTGTAATCAAAGCAAATCAAGTTTAGAAGTTTATCTTGTGCATGTCAACCTGAATTAATCTTCACGGTAAAACTAAATATAAAATACCAGTTAAATAACTTCAATAATTCAATCAGTTCATAATAAGCAAAAAAAGAATTTTTATACTGAAATTAACCAGTGTAGAGGAGCAAGTAACCTTGAATTTTCGGATATAATAATTTAAATAAAATAATAATTTATTTTAATATCATGTTTGCTTCTTCCAGTTTCATTATTTAGCGAAATTACTGTAATAAAAAGCTACCAAACTGTTTACAATAAGCTATTATCAGATACTATCAGTATGAGCGAAACTTGTCACTGAACAAAAATTATGTGTCAATGTTTATTTAATAATGCATACCTGTAGATGTTTTAGACTTTTTGTTTTTTCCACCAATTTGTCTTTTTTTTTGTTGATATTTTTGAATGAATGACACAATTT